TGAATTAATTTTCTTGTTAGATGTGTAACATTAGATTTTTGTGACAAATTTATTAGATTTTCTTTTATTATTAGTTCTTATGTGTATTTCGATTTAATGCGACTACATATGTTTTTTGTTTTGAGGTTATGTTTGGAATATTTAAAATATGTATTTGACACGTGCATTAAATTGTTTTGGAAATTACTTTTTATGTCGCAGTTAATGTGTCCAAGGGTGTTAAGGGATTTAAATGGTATTTTTGGGTAAGTGTTTATAATAATGTAATGATTTTCTTTGGGGTAAAAGTGGACAAATGCAAAATCCATTTTGATTCAACATTTTGGGAAATTTGAATACTTTTAAGTTTTAAAATGAGATCAATATTAAGAAAATTATCAATAAAGTATTGAAATCGGTATGTTATTACCATCTAAACTGTTAATAACGCCACAAACGAACTAGGTAAGCATTGGAATATAAATCTCTTTGAAAGATACAGAAGACTATTTGTAGAAACAGACATTTGTTCTAAAGCTATTTTATAGAAATATTGAAGATCACTTCATTTAAAGCTTTGTTGGACTGAATACTCTTATTATCATCACAAACCTTCATACGTTTCTGCTAACAGGTTATTCGAAAGTTATAAGACAAGATGATAACATTAAGAATTAGCAAGTTGATGTAAAGCTTTTTACTATAAATAGTTTAGCAGTGTGCGAAAAGTTTTAAGCCCTCAGGTTGAACTAGAACTGAACTAGAACTGAACTAGAACTAAACTAGAACTGAACTAGAACTGAACTAGAACTGAACTGTAACTGAACTAGAACTGAACTAGAACTGAACTAGAACTGAACTAGAACTGAACTAGAGCTGAACTAGAACTGAACTAGAACTGAACTGGAACTGAACTAGAACTGAACTAGAACTGAACTAGAACTGAACTAGAACTGAACTAGAACTGAACTAGAACTGAACTAGATCTGAACTAGAACTGAACTAGAACTGAACTAGAACTGAACTAGGACTGAACTAGAACTGAACTAGAACTGAACTAGAACTGAACTAGAACTGAACTAGAACTGAACTAGAACTGAACTAGATCTGAACTAGAACTGAACTAGAACTGAACCAGAACTGAACTAGAACTGAACTAGAACTGAACTAGAACTGAACTAGAACTGAACTAGAACTGAACTAGAACTGAACTAGAACTGAACTAGAACTGAACTAGAACTGAACTAGAACTGAACTAGAACTGTACTAGAACTGTACTAGAACTGAACTAGAACTGTACTAGAACTGAATTAGAACTGAACTAAAACTGAACTAGACTAGAATTGAACTAGATTTACGAAGTTGAGTTACAGATTTGATCGATTTAGTTCTATTATTATACAGGTTTTTAAAAGCTTAAAACTAGCTTACTTTGTCGTTGACTGGGCAATACTAAGGCTTTTAAATAAATATACAAAAATTTATTTTTTTGCCCAAATTTCAATGTTTTCCCATTTGTTCTTTTACAAATAAAAGAAAAATTAAATAACCCAATAATTGGCCATCATAAAAAAAACGTTCATCCATAATATACCAGCTACTAGTGTGAGCAAAACACATTACAATCCAAAACCAAGTTTTATTTGCTTCATTAAATTTTATTTCGATTACAGCAATTATCCACACAACCGAACCGAACCCAAAGCAGAAAGATTTTAAAACGAAATATATATATATTTTTTTTTTTTGTTTAAAACACATTACAGCTAAATATTAATGTTGGCAATTTAATGGTAATAATGAACTAAGAACAAATAACAGACTTGGATTAGATGTGGATTAGTTCTTAACAAATATCATATACACAACCTCACACAACAATAAGTTTATTGGTAATTGTTGTGAGAGGAAATAAAGGTACCAACAGAAAATTAAAAGAAAAATTTAAACACCTTATTTAAAATAATAGCAAAGTTAATGATTGTAAATAAATACAAATAAATTGTGTTTAACAATTCATTCATTATGAAAAACACAACACCAGAAACCCCCCACCGGCCTTGCAGAAAACAGGACTTTACGCACAAAAGTATTCGTTAACTAAAAATCAAGCTGGGAAAACAGTTTAAGAAAAACAAAACAATATTTATCACCGGGATCTGTATTTTCACATTCTTAACTGTTTTGAGTACTAAACATTTAGTTATATATTTTTTTGCAAAACCTTATTAAAAAAAGGTGAAGGAAAAATGGCAAAAAATCTATACCTGTTTTATTTTAAAATAAATGGCCAACACTTAAATAAACGTTTCATTCTTTTTGCTCCAATTTTTCTCCGGTAACCTAACGGAAACGCTAAACTGCCAGCAATACTTCGTTACCGGGGCAAAGAAAAAAAATGTGATTTAAAAGGTACAAAACCGTAAAACTTAATACGTTAATATATCAAAAATACACAACAGCAACGAAAGACCATAAAAAACAGCAGCCAAGCATACTTTCGCTATTCACTTCCTCTCTCTTATACCACAGTGTGTTATCAATGTCCTTTCACATTTAACTACATACCAGAGTATAGATGTTTCAACATTAGTTGGGGGTATTGATGCCCTATTGTTTGTTATTCCTTTTCTTTATTTTTCTTATTGTTCAACCTTCCCTCGCCCCCTTAAAGTTTAAGATTGATAAATGAAATATGTATTTGGCACAATAAAAATCAAGGCAAAAGGTAAACTTAATAGAACAGGGGATCTGTTACGCTTTTCGTTTTATAATCTTTACAAATAGCTAAAACTAAAAAAAATAAACCATATGGCTCACAAAATGTTATAAGACTGTTAGGTATTGGCAATATTTTATATTGGTAACTAGGAACAGAAGAAAAGAAATTACAAACAAAAGAAATAATAACAATTCTTAATAGACTAGATTATAGACTAGAACTGAACTAGAACTGAACTAGAACTGAACTAGAACTGAACTAGAACTGAACTAGAACTGAACTAGAACTGAACTAGAACTGAACAGACTGAACTAGAACTGAACTAGAACTGAACTAGAACTGAACTAGAACTGAACTAGAACTGAACTAGAACTGAACTAGAACTGAACTAGAACTGAACTAGAACTGAACTAGAACTGAACTAGAACTGAACTAGAACTGAACTAGAACTGAACTAGAACTGAACTAGAACTGAACTAGAACTGAACTAGAACTGAACTAGAACTGAACTAGAACTGAACTAGAACTGAACTAGAACTGAACTAGAACTGAACTAGAACTGAACTAGAACTGAACTAGAACTGAACTAGAACTGAACTAACTGAACTAGACTGAACTAGAACTGAACTAGAACTGAACTAGAACTGAACTAGAACTGAACTAGAACTGAACTAGAACTGAACTAGAACTGAACTAGAACTGAACTAGAACTGAACTAGAACTGAACTAGAACTGAACTAGAACTGAACTAGAACTGAACTAGAACTGAACTAGAACTGAACTAGAACTGAACTAGAACTGAACTAGAACTGAACTAGAACGAACAACGAACTAGAACTGAACTAGAACTGAACTAGAACTGAACTAGAACTGAACTAGAACTGAACTAGAACTGAACTAGAACTGAACTAGAACTGAACTAGAACTGAACTAGAACTGAACTAGAACTGAACTAGAACTGAACTAGAACTGAACTAGAACTGAACTAGAACTGAACTAGAACTGAACTAGAACTGAACTAGAACTGAACTAGAACTGAACTAGAACTGAACTAGAACTGAACTAGAACTGAACTAGAACTGAACTAGAACTGAACTAGAACTGAACTAGAACTGAACTAGAACTGAACTAGAACTGAACTAGAACTGAACTAGAACTGAACTAGAACTGAACTAGAACTGAACTAGAACTGAACTAGAACTGAACTAGAACGGAACTAGAACTGAACTAGAACTGAACTAGAACTGAACTAGAACTGAACTAGAACTGAACTAGAACTGAACTAGAACTGAACTAGAACTGAACTAGAACTGAACTAGAACTGAACTAGAACTGAACTAGAACTGAACTAGAACTGAACTAGAACTGAACTAGAACTGAACTAGAACTGAACTAGAACTGAACTAGAACTGAACTAGAACTGAACTAGAACTGAACTAGAACTGAACTAGAACTGAATTGGAACTGAACTAGAACTGAACTAGAACTGAACTAGAACTGAACTAGAACTGAACTAGAACTGAACTAGAACTGAACTAGAACTGAACTAGAACTGAACTAGAACTGAACTAGAACTGAACTAGAACTGAACTAGAACGGAACTAGAACTGAGCTAGTAATTTTTTAAACTTTTTAATAAAATTAAAGCAACATTCTTTATAAATTTCTGGTTTCATCTTTACTCTACCTAAAGTCACATGAATTGCTTAATTCTATAAATAAATGAATAAATTTCTCCATAACCATTTCCCAAATTTCGCAATCAATGTCAATTTCAAAATTCATAACTTCCTCTTTAGCCAAAAGTGTGGTGAACTAGAGGAAACCCAAAACCTCAATCTGATTAAGTTGTAGTATGCCAGAGTTAAAGCAATTTCAAACTTGAAATCACAAAATCTGCCCCGTATAATTCATTACTATTCTATTATTGTACAATTTATTCAATATAATTTAAGACTAAAACGAAATGGAAAAAATATGTAGAAAAGAAAAAAAAAAACGAGTAGTCATTTTATATATAATTTTTTTCTAGTTGGTTGTTGGCCTTAAAACATGGCTGGCGGTGATGTTGATATTTCTTTTGTTATTATGGTTCGTTAAGTTTAAGGATAACTGGCAGACAACAAGAACAACACCAACGCATAATCACATACTCCGAAGCACACACACTTATATATGTGTATAAATATTCTATTTTTCCTGCATTCTATATAACAATTTTTATATAACTCTTATAGAATATAGAATATAAAAATAATAAAAATAGAAAATAAAATAATAAAAAAAAATGAAAACTTACCGTTAACAAATCCTTGCGTGAAATATTTTTCAAATGCAACACATTGCGCACTGTACCATCTGGTAGCACTTGAAATGAATCATCGACTAAAGCATGTTCACGCCACCATGAAACACGAGGTGGTGGTATGCCACCACTCGATAAACATGTTAAATTAATGCTGTCACCTTCCAAATAGGGACCGGCTGTTTGGTCTCTTACAGCAGCACCCTGGTGATCCAGTATTGTCAGTTGTGTGGGCGGCACTAAAAATCGACACAGACAGAATAGGAAAACGTAAAAAATGAATATAAACGACAATGAAATTTATTTATTATTTTTGAAAAAAAAAATGAAATCCTTTTTAACAACAAAGTCTAACAAACAACACAAATACAACAAATAAATAAATATAAACCAAGTTAAGATAAATTATTAAATATATAAAGGTTAGTTAGCAGTTGTGTATTATTGTTGGCTTGAAAAACAAAAATTGAGCCAAATAAGGGCATTGAATATGTATGTATGCCAACGTAAACAAAATACTGCCTGTCTAGCAAGGACACACAAGTGAAAACACCCATTAAAATTAAGACATAGATTTATATATTCTGACCAAAATAAATTAACAAGCATAAAAGAGAAGTTAGAAAATAAACCAAAAAATTATTATGGTTTTAGGTCAGTGATCGGCATAGAAAGAACTAGATACATATATCTCAGTTTGAAAGCTTAGTGGAAGCGTTAAATTTGCCTCATATTATTTAAAACTCTCTGATACTACACTATGTACTAGACCATATACTAGACTATAGACTAAACTATAGACTAGACTAACGACTAAACTATAGACTAGACTAAAAACTAGACAATAGACTAGACAATAGACTAGACTATAGACTAGACTATAGACTAGACAATAGACTAGACAATAGACTAGACTATAGACTAGACTAGACTAGACTAGACTATAGACTAGACTATAGACTAGACTATAGACTAGACTATATTCTAGACTATAGACTAGACTATAGACTAGACTATAGACTAGACTGTAGACTAGACTATAGACTAGAATATAGACTAGACTATAGACTAGACTATAGACTAGACTATAGACTAGACTATAGACTAGACTATAGACTAGACTATAGACTAGACTATAGACTAGACTATAGACTAGACTAGACTATAGACTAGACTATAGACTAGACTATAGACTAGACTATAGACTAGACTATAGACTAGACTATAGACTAGACTATAGACTAGACTATAGACTAGACTATAGACTAGACTATAGTAAACAAAATACTGCCTGTCTAGCAAGGACACACAAGTGAAAACACCCATTAAAATTAAGACATAGATTTATATATTCTGACCAAAATAAATTAACAAGCATAAAAGAGAAGTTAGAAAATAAACCAAAAAATTATTATGGTTTTAGGTCAGTGATCGGCATAGAAAGAACTAGATATATCTCAGTTTGAAAGCTTAGTGGAAGCGTTAAATTTGCCTCATATTATTTAAAACTCTCTGATACTACACTATGTACTAGACCATATACTAGACTATAGACTAAACTATAGACTAGACTAACGACTAAACTATAGACTAGACTAAAGACTAGACAATAGACTAGACAATAGACTAGACTATAGACTAGACTATAGACTAGACAATAGACTAGACAATAGACTAGTCTATAGACTAGATTAGACTATAGACTAGACTATAGACTAGACTATATTCTAGACTATAGACTAGACTATAGACTAGACTATAGACTAGACTATAGACTAGACTATAGACTAGACTATAGACTAGACTATAGACTAGACTATAGACTAGAGTATAGACTAGACTAGACTATAGACTAGACTATAGACTAGACTATAGACTAGATAGACTAGACTATAGACTAGACTATAGACTAGATAAACTAGACTATAGACTAGACTATAGACTAGACTATAGACTAGACTATAGACTAGACTATAGACTAGACTATAGACTAGACTATAGACTAGACTATAGACTAGACTATAGACTAGACTATAGACTAGACTATAGACTAGACTATAGACTAGACTATAGACTAGACTATAGACTAGACTATAGACTAGACTATAGACTAGACTATAGACTAGACTATAGACTAGACTATAGACTAGACTATAGACTAGACTATAGACTAGACTATAGACTAGACTATAGACTAGACTATAGACTAGACTATAGACTAGACTATAGACTAGACAATAGACTAGACTATAGACTAGACTATAGACTAGACAATAGACTAGACAATAGACTAGACTATAGACTAGACTAGACTATAGACTAGACTATAGACTAGACTATAGACTAGACTATATTCTAGACTATAGACTAGACTATAGACTAGACTATAGACTAGACTGTAGACTAGACTATAGACTAGAATATAGACTAGACTATAGACTAGACTATAGACTAGACTATAGACTAGACTATAGACTAGACTATAGACTAGACTATAGACTAGACTATAGACTAGACTATAGACTAGACTATAGACTAGACTATAGACTAGACTATAGACTAGACTATAGACTAGACTATAGACTAGACTATAGACTAGACTATAGACTAGACTATAGACTAGACTATAGACTAGACTATAGACTAGACTATAGACTAGACTATAGACTAGACTATAGACTAGACTATAGACTAGACTATAGACTAGACTATAGACTAGACTATAGACTAGACTATAGACTAGACTATAGACTAGACTATAGACTAGACTATAGACTAGACTATAGACTAGACTATAGACTAGACTATAGACTAGACTATAGCCTAGACTATAGACTAGACTATAGACTATCTACTAGACTATAGACTAGACTGTAGACTAGACTGTAGACTATAGACTAGACTATAGACTAGACTATAGACTAGACTATAGACTAGACTATAGACTAGACTATAGACTAGACTATAGACTAGACTATAGACTAGACTATAGACTAGACTATAGACTAGACTATAGACTAGACTATAGACTAGACTATATAGACTAGACTATAGACTAGACTATAGACTAGACTATAGACTAGACTATAGACTAGACTATAGACTAGACTATAGACTAGACTATAGACTAGACTATAGACTAGACTATAGACTAGACTATAGACTAGACTATAGACTAGACTATAGACTAGACTATAGACTAGACTATAGACTAGACTATAGACTAGACTATAGACTAGACTATAGACTAGACTATAGACTAGACTATAGACTAGACTATAGACTAGACTATAGACTAGACTATAGACTAGACTATAGACTAGACTATAGACTAGACTATAGACTAGACTATAGACTAGACTATAGACTAGACTATAGACTAGACTATAGACTAGACTATAGACTAGACTATAGACTAGACTATAGACTAGACTATAGACTAGACTATAGACTAGACTATAGACTAGACTATAGACTAGACTATAGACTAGACTATAGACTAGACTAGACTAGACTAGACTAGACTATAGACTAGACTATAGACTAGACTATAGACTAGACTATAAACCAATCTTATAACCAATCTCTCAAAGCCCCTAGTAACTTTCGCAGCCGATCACTACTTTACTCTATGTGACTAATATTTAAGGCTTTTGTTGCGTTAATTTATTTTAGCAGAAAACTATGGATACCTTTAAAAGGCCAAGAATTAACAGTTTAATGCTCTCTACACTAAGCAACTTAGTTATGAAAAAATAAATGAAAATTAAACAAAAAAATATTATTTTACATAAATAATCTTTTTTGTCACACTTTATAATTGTCTAAGGTCATTACAAGCCAACCTTGTTAAAATCAAAAGGCGCGACAAATCTTTTTTTTTAATTTTCTAAACAAATTTTTTCAAGTGTAATAATCAGCCAGACACAAACGAAATGATTTTTTTTTTTTCACAAAAAAAAATCAAAAGCTTTTCAACAAAAAAAAAAATAAATAAATAAAAAAAAAGATTTCACAAAGTAAAAATAAAAAGAAATGAAACAAATTAAAATAAAGTCTTCGTCTTCTTCTTACTTACCCAATACAGTTACATTAATTCTCCAATTACGTGTCGGTGATTTATGAAAATCAACCCGACATTTATATAGACCCGCATCACTTATTTGTATATTTTTAATCCTTAAAGCTGGCGGATTTGAGTCATAATAAAAATGTGCCTTATTTTTAAAAACATTCTCATCCGCCCAGGGTATACCTTGATGTAATGAACGACCTCTGGCATCAAAACTGTAAAAAAAAAACAAGAATAAAAGACAAATTTTAAATACAGATTTATTTAACCTTCCACAAAGCCAAAGAATATGAATGTAAATGTGGTGAAGGAGGCAGAAGAGGAGAAGGAAAAGGTTGATGTTGATGGACATTTGTATGTAGAACAGCCCTGTTTAATTATTTATATTTAGAGAGTATTACTGCATTTTAATATTTTCCGGTTAAACTTTATTACAGGCCAAAATGAAATGAAATACATACATACATACATACATACATACATACATACATACATACATACATACATACATACATACATACATACATACATACATACATACATACATACATACATACATACATACATACATACATACATACATACATACATACATACATACATACATACATACATACATACATACATACATACATACATACATACATACATACATACATACATACATACATACATACATACATACATACATACATACATACATACATACATACATACATACATACATACATACATACATACATACATACATACATACATACATACATACATACATACATACATACATACATATACATTAATAAATAAGTGTATATATGTATGTATGTACATGTAAAAGTATAAGATTTTCGATGTATGTGTACATTTTTAATTATATTTGTAGCTACAGTGATTGTTATATAAATAGGGATAGTAATGACAAAATTATTTTATGAGTTACTTAAGATTCTTAAACATTTGAATTGCCAATGTGAGAAAAGGATATCGGACGATTCTTCAAAATACTTGAAGGAAAGAAACTATAAACTCGAACTTCAATAAAATATCATCAAATAATTTGATCTAAATCGGAACGACATCAGTTTGGATGCAACAATTGATAATCTGCAAATTGTGTGAAGAAAGAACACTATCAACTCGACTAAGACTCATTTTGCTAAACTTCAATAAAATGTCACATCACGCTACAAAGTTAATACTTTCCTGCTGTCATGATCAGAGTCCTTATTGTATCATTAAGAAGATATAATATAGATTACACTGTGTACACTAATTACATATAGCATGTTGGCAAAATTACACTAACGATTTAGATATATAAAAGATATCGGATTGAATTATTGATCTAACCTTCAAATTGTTGGACTCAGGGTCCAACTCTTGAGTCATTCATAAAAGGTGAGTCATATCAGAGACCGTACTTTATGACATCATGGATGACGTATAAGATTCTTGATCTACCTTTCAAACTGTTGGACCAGATCATTCTGAAGTCATTCATAAAACTCATATCTCCGGTTCATGCCTTAGACGGGATTTTATTACGGCTTAATATCGGAATAGATGTAACAGACTTAAGATCAAATCATTAGATATTGACCGGAAAGCTCTTGAGTCGTTCATAAATCACATATCTCTGGTTGATATAAGAGATCGGGTTTTAATAATCGAAATGATTGGACCCTGCTTACTTTTGTGTCATTCTTAAAACACAGATCTCTGAGTCATATCAGATACATGGATTTATTCCTTCATGATATATACAGAGAGGGAAAAAATATACACGCGCAACGGTTGTGTATAACATTTAGATTTCGACAACGAATTGTTGCAATTTTGACACCATTGCGTTTTCAACATTACATAGTTTTGTCGTACGTATACTTGACAACGGATGTTATTGAAAAATTTGGTGTCAATTTGGTACGAGGCGTGTATATATGTTTTCTCTCTGTGTGGGAGTGTAACAGGTTATTGAACTTAACTTCAAATGATCGGACCAGGTTTTACTCTAACGTAACATGGGAATGAATGTTCAGATTATTGATCTTAACTTTAAATAATTGAACTCTGACAAATCTTGAATTATTCATAAAAAAACAGATCTCTGAGTCATAACATAGTCATATCAAACAACCTTTATAAACCCAACGAAAACTGAAAACCATTCAAATTCAAGTTTTCATCAGATTTTACATAATTTCGACAAGGTCACCAATTTGGTCTTCATAAAGTTGGTATACATATGCATACGAGTACAGATACAGAGATGAATACGAATAGTTAAGTTTGAAGTTCTAATTTTGAAGAGAGATAGCAAGAGCTGATCTCAATTGTGATAGATAAGAGACGATACTGGTCCAGTTGTTTAACCAAAGTATTGAGCTAATTTTAAATAATTTCGTCAATTCTAATTTTTCTTTACAAAATTCCCAATTAGAGTCCTCCCAAGTTTGGTACTTTTGAAGAGAAGGCTGATCGTGTATGGTTCATAAGTGTCCAAACAGTTGATTTGAAAGTTTTAATATTGAGTAAGTATGTCATCAGTGGATCTTAATGAATAAATGTATAGGGATTGTGCCAACTTTGAAACACTTAATGATCCAGTGCACTGGATCATTAAGTTTTCTTGAAATTTACTTGACAAACTGACTGCAATATAGAGACCTTGAAGTGGAACATTGCCCTAAAGGAGACACTTTCTATTGATGCTATTTCTATAGCCTGAACTGTAGATCTGTTATTAAAATCTTTGCAAATTTTGGTAAAATATCCAAAAGCAAAGAAATCAGACAGGAAAATGTCAGATCGAGTGTGGTTAAAAGAGAAATTATTCCAGATTTCTTGACACAAACTGACTACAATGTAGAGACATTGAAGTGAAACATAGCCCTAAAGGGAATGATATGATTCTAACTAGTGACAGCTTTCTATTGATGCTATTTCCATAGCCTGAACTAAAAATTAATTTACTACCCATGTACATATAGTATATTTACTCGTATGTATATGTAAATAGTATTAATAAATTGAAAACACTTATGACTTAACTATCCCAACCAACCGACAATACACAAACCAGCAAAGTTATTAAATGGACTTGGTAATCACATGTGGTTTGTAATTATTACAATTAATAACTGAATATGCAGATGGTCTTGTAGTTGTTGCTGCTGTTGTTGCTAACGTTATTATAAGCCAAAAAGCCTTATATTTGCAAATATACTATATACCAGCAATCGGGCACACATACTTAAGTTTGCACTATATATATGTATATTATTTATAAACACTTTAGGGATCCTTATGGTAAGAAATAATAATTATTATTAGGTTGATTAGAACTGCTATATACATATGTATGTATGTGTAACAGTGATGGGCAAATTATATACCAATAACAGAGTGCTTTCTGCTGTGTTATAGAGAATTTAAAAAATTGCCCATGGCTGGCAGTAGGACGAACATATTTACATGGGAGTATGTAGTGGATATATTCAAATAGAATTTTTTTTTATTATTTTTTTCCACATTTCTTTACAACAATTTTATATTATTAATTCCCTTATTTGTTGTGGTTTGATATAGTAAATATTTCTATTTTCTAATTAGTTTTATTTATAAGAGTATTAAAAGAATTTTATTAATTTCCCTAGTTGTTTAGAGAGAATAATATCATGTTGTGTTGAAAACTTTTTATTTATTACATTTTTTCTTCTCTTTATTTCATTTCCTCCTCCCGCAATTTAATGCTATTATGTGTGGTCAATTGGTGGGCGTTTGTTGAAAAGGAAACGGAAATTGTTTGGGGGAAATTCTCAAAATTACAATGTATGAAAGGTTTATTAACCTTGTAAGATGATTTCATGGATATTGAATATGAAAGTAAAATGAAAGCCGAAAGGTTAAAAGTTATAGAAATTAAGGGCTTTGTTTCATATGAAAAACTTTACTAAAACTTCCTTTCAAGCAACAGGATATAGCCACACAATTATAAGTCTTTAAAGCAATTTTAAAATTTGATTTCCTTAAAGTTTTTGTTTGTCGTTTTAATGATGGCAAAAAAAGCATAACAACACATAATTCTAAAACGATAAAAAAGAAAAACAACAAACACAGATAAAGAAATTACATGATGTAAGTATTTTAATGTATCTAAAGAAAAATTCCAACAATACAAACGAAAAAATTCATTCAACGTGTTCATAAAAATGACACGCGTTTAACAAAAACAGAAAAATCGATTAAAAATTCTATTGTTGTCGCATGTTTATGTTAAATAAACATTGTAAAACACAAATATGGATTCTCATTTCCCACCCGGTATATCGAATAACATAGATGAACCGATATTGGAGGAAGGGGAGGGTAACACGGAAATAGTTATTACAACTGACATGGTTAAAGGGGCAATCAAGAGCTTTGCTCCCTATAAAGCTGCAGGGCCGGATGGAATTTTCCCGGCACTTTTGCAGATGGAGGCGGGACTGGTTTCCGTACATCTGTCACAGATATTCACTGCATGCTTAAAATTGGCATATACCCCAGTTAAATGGCAGGATGCAAGGGTAATATTTATACCCAAACCAGGGAAACCTAGCTATGCGACACCTAAGTCCTATCGACCGATAAGTCTTACGTCCTTCCTACTTAAAACCTTGGAACGGATAGTCGATAGCATGGTTAAAAGCAGCATACCATACAATGACCTTAAATATAAGCAGCATGCTTATGTAAAGGGACGATCGGTGGAGACCGCTTTAAATGAAGTTGTCCACTACATAAGTGAATCTTTCGATAGCAAACTGTATACACTGGCAGTATGCATTGACATCGAAGGCGCTTTCAATAACGTGCACACTGATACCCTTATCCAATCCCTAGACCAGTTTTATGTTGACCGGGTGCTCCGTAACTGGATCAACTACATGCTAAGGAACAGATGGATAAGCTGCGAGATGTACGATATAACTATCAGGAAAAAGGTATTTCGCGGTATACCACAGGGTGGCATTTTGTCACCTTTACTCTGGGTCACCACGATTAATAGCCTCCTAAGGACCCTAACCGAGAAAGGACTTAGACCTGTCTGCTATGCAGACGATGTCGTAATACTTTTAAAGGGAAAGGATCCAAATTACTTGTGTAGAAGAGCTGAGGAGGCTCTGTATACGGCCTTGAGCTGGGCTCAACCGAGAGGCCTCAATGTTAACCC